GGTATCAGACCTAAAGATCCAAAAAGTTTTTCAAAACAAGATTTTCGTGAATCAAATTAAACTATTTCTTTGAGAATCTTTAATTTTACTGAACCACAGAAGCTGAAGGTGTTCCAGGCAACAAGTCCTGACGAAGGCCGTAAGACCGTTGGTAAGCCGCAGCCGTGAAGACGTAAATAGTAAGTATTCTCTCAGTATGAGTTTAATTTAATCATGGCATCTTCTTTCCGAAAACTTTTTAGATCAAAGCATGCCTTTACTTCAGCATCTCATACAACTATTAATTCAAGAGAAATTATGTCCAAAATAACATCTTTCAATCAAGAAATATCAAAAGACNAATTACCCCATATTAATCCAGATAATATATATCAAATTGGAACTTTTGACTTTAAGACAGCATATTCTATAAAAGAACATGAACAAACCTTACCATTACAAACGAGTTTGAAGAAATTAAGTTATTATCATCACTTGCCATAGACAAATATAAACAAAGAGGATTTAACTATATCCATTTTGGACTTATACAAATCGCCATTAAACCCTTATCTAGAACAGGTATAGATTCACCTATTCTTATGCTATTACGAGATAAAACTCTACTAAAATTTGAGGACTCCCTATTAGGAGCTGTCCAATCAAATTTATGCAACGGAGCAATATATTTTAATTGCGCTCCTAATTATTAAGTAAGTTTACATGATCCAACAATACTCAATACTTTAGTACTAAACGTCCACCTACCAGAAATTAAATTTCAAAATGAAAGACATGGCTATTTATTGCTATATCGAATTTATTTTAAGCAATCAACATCTGAGTTTAACCAAAGATGTTTATTACAAGACGATAAGGGAGAAACTACTATTTTAGCAGTACATAGTAAAGATACTCCAACAGCTACCTACACACCTAAGCAATTAGATTGGAATGAGATCACTATTACAGAACAATGGAAAATTGATATAACGCAACCACCTAGAAATTTTGAACAAAAAATTATATCAAGAATAATTGAAAATAGAGATGGAAAATATACAATTTGGATCATTTAGAGATCCACTTCCACCCAGAATTAGTTCATATCACTCAAGAGCATCCTTTTCCGAATTTCGTACTGGTCAACCCAGTACTGATTCTGAATCGGAAAGCGTAAATCAAAATATTAATCAAGATAATACAATTAAATTTGAAGCACCAATAGTTGAACCTAATCAAGATAGATATCCAACATCTCCTACTCCATCCGATTTCAAGACAATAAATGTTATAACCAAAGATTATGAAATTAATAAACAATATATTAAAGAAGACTTTTATTCAAAAGAAAATGAGGAAAAACGTAATTGGTATTTTCTAACATTTTCTAAACAACAGACAATCGAATTTAGAGAAAAATAGTATAACAGTATCCTATTCAAAAAGATAGAAATCCCATTTTTCATATGGTTTGAGACATATTCAATAGCTCATAATATTAGCTATCCATTTAGATCAATTAACACTAGTTCATCCCTACACCAAGTATGGGAATTGGTAGATGGAAGTAAAACTAAAACGATCCATCTACCTCTGAGAGACTTAAAATTAAATACCTCTAATAGAGCAATCGTAGCCACACCTTTTAAAACCGGAGCTAATCGAGAAGACAAAGATCCTGTAATTATGCAAGATATCAAGGAAGTATATCAACAAATAATTATCAAAGTCAATTACTACACACAATATCTAAGAAAGTAGAT